GGAATAGTGCCCCATCATTGGTGTCAGTGGGAGGAATAGTGCCCCATCATTGGTGTCAGTGGGAGGAATAGTGCCCCATCATTAGTGTCAGTGGGAGGAATAATACCCCATCATTGGTGTCAGTGGGTCAGGAAATAGTGCCCCATCATTGGTGTCAGTGGGAGGAATAGTGCCCCATCTTTGGTGTCAGTGGGAGGAAGTGCCCCATCATTGGTGTCAGTGGGAGGAATAGTGTCCCATCATTGGTGTCAGTGGGAGGCCCAGAGGCATAGTGCCCCATCATTGGTGTCAGTGGGAAAAAAAGTGCCCCCTCATTGGTGTCAGTGACACCAATGAGGGGGCACTATTCCTCTCATGCTGACACTAATGATGGGGCACTATTACTCCCACTGACACAAATTATACTTACATCGCCATGCCACCCCCCTGAAAAATGCCGCCCTAGGCAAATACCTTGTTTGCCTCTTGGCAAATATGCCCCTGGGACAAGTGAGGGGAAGTGGGACAGGAGGAGCGCAGTGGGACAAGTGAGGGGCAGTGGGACAGGAGGAGTGCAGAGGGACAGGTAGGGGGCAGCGTGATGGGGGGGCATGGGACAGGATCGGGGCATCGAGACAGGAGAAGCACAGTGGGACAGGAGAAGTGCAGAAGGATAGGTGTGGGGGCAATGGGACAGTGGGCAAGGGACAGTATCGGGGCAGCTGGACAGGAGGAGCGCAGAGGGACAGGTAGGGTGCAGCGTGAAGGGGGGGGCATGGGACAGGATCAGTGCAGGCGGGACAGGAGAAGCGCAGAAGGATAGGTGAGGGGCAGTGGGACAGGAGGAGTGCAGAGGGACAGGTGGGGGGCAGCGTGACGGGGGGCATGGGACAGAATCGGGGCAGTGGGACAGGAGGAGCGCAGTGGGACAGGATCGGGGGAGTGGGACAGGAGGAGCACAGTGGGACAGGTGAGGGGCAGTGGGACAGGAGGAGCGCAGTGGGACAGGTGAGGGGCAGTGGGACAGGAGGAGTGCAGTGGAACAGATGGGGGGGCAGCGTGACAGGGGGCATGGGACAGGATCAGGGCAGTGGGACAGGAGTAGCACAGTGGGACAGGTGAGGGGCAGCGGGATAGGAGGAGCGCAGTGGGACAGGTGAGGGGCAGCGGGACACGAGGAGCGCAGTGGGACAGGTGAGGGGCAGTAGGACAGGAGGAGCGCAGTGGGACAGGTGAGGGGTAGTGGGACAGGAGGAGCACAGTGGGACAGGTGAGGGGCAGTGGGACAGGAGGAGCGCAGTGGGACAGGTGAGGGGCAGTGGGACAGGAGGAGTGCAGTGGGACAGATGGGGGGGCAGCGTGACAGGGGGCATGGGACAGGATCAGGGCAGCGGGACAGGAGTAGCACAGTGGGACAGGTGAGGGGCAGCGGGATAAGAGGAGCACAGTGGGACAGGTGAGGGGCAGCGGGACACGAGGAGCGCAGTGGGACAGGTGAGGGGCAGTAGGACAGGAGGAGCGCAGTGGGACAGGTGAGGGGTAGTGGGACAGGAGGAGCACAGTGGGACAGGTGAGGGGCAGTGGGACAGGAGAAGGAGCACAGAGGGACAGGAGGAGCACAGAGGGATAGGTGGGGGGCAGTGAGACAGGAGGAGCGCAGAGGGACAGGTGAGGAGCAGATGGACAGGAGGAGCGTAGAGGGACAGGTGGGGGGCAGTGGGGACAGATGAGTGGTAGTGGGACAATGTGGGGGACAGGAGGGGGAAGTGGAATAGGTGTGGGGCAGTATGACATGTGGGGGCAGGGGGCAGTGTGATGGATGGGGGGCAATGGGATGGGGGAGGGAAGTAGAACAGGTGGGGGGCAGTGTATCAGGGGACAGTGAGACAGGACCGAGGGAGCACCAGTCCTCCAAGCACTTACCTGTCCAGCAGTGGCTCCTCCACATGGTGTCAGGATCATTCCTGTGCCTGTGTCCCTTCTCCCCCATGATCTCTGGCGGCGGCTGCAAAGGAGCAGGCCAGTGCCGCCCCCCTGACCTCGTCCTCTTCTGCTTCCTCCGGCCTTCTTGCAGATCCCGGATCTTCATGGGGGGACTAATCTTGCCACTACACCGGCACACTGACAGCAGGCCCCGCCCCTCACGCGCTCTGAGCGCACACCGGGGATCCACCCACCACTCCGGTCTCCTCTGCAGCCGGTCCCTTAGCCATGGTGGCCCTGCCCCTGTACCTTTACCACGGAAGTTTCCCTTCCGTGGGAAAGGGGGGGCGGCACTGCCACCGTGCCGCCACCCTGAAAAGTGCTGCCCTAGGCAAATGCCTAGTTCACCTCGTGGCAAATACGCCCCTGGGTCCACGGCCAGCGATTCATGGCTGGGACTCGATGATCAATGGAGCAGCTGACAGAAAAGAGATCTGAGTGTAAACAACACAGATCTCTCCCCTGTCAGTAAGGACATGCTGCTCTCTCTCTCTGCAAAGCAGAGAGATAGAAAGCAGCATGTCCACTAGTAAAACAGCACACAGTAAACCTAAAACAGTACACAGCTAACCCTTTGATCACCCCAAATATTAACCCCTTCCTGGCTAGTGTCATTAGTACAGTGATTTTTATTAGCACTGATCACTGTATTAGTGTCAGTTAGTGTCAGAATGCCTGCCGCAGTGCCGCTATAAGTTGCTGCTTGCTGTCGTTACTAGTATAAAATACACAAAAGTTCCAGTATATATACCACCATTTGTACAGGTGAAACTCGTTAATTTATTTCAGTAATGCAACTTAAAAGGTGAAACTAATATATGAGATAGACTCATTACATGCAAAGCAAGATAGTTCAAGCCGTGATTTGTCATAATTGTGATGATTATGGATTACAGCTCACGAAAACCCCAAATCCACAATCTCAGAAAATTAGAATATTGTGAAAAGGTGCAATATTCTAGGCTCAAAGTGTCCCACTCTAATCAGCTAATTAAGCCATAACACCTGCAAAGGGTTCCTGAGCCTTTAAATGGTCTCACAGTCTGGTTCGGTAGGAATCACAATCATGGAAAAGACTGCTGACCTGACAGTTGTGCAGAAAACCATCATTGACAACCTCCATAAGGAGGGAAAGCCTGAAAAGGTAATTGCAAAAGAAGTTGGATGTTCCCAAAGTGCTGTATCAAAGCACATTAATAGAAAGTTATGTGGAAGGGAAAAGAGTGGAAGAAAAAGGTGCACAAGCAGCAGGAATGACCGCATCCTGGAGAGGATTGTCAGGAAAAGGCCATTCAAAAGTGTTGGGGACACACAGACGGATCCTGGACATGGGCTTCAAATGTCGTGTTCCTCTTGTCAAGCCACTCCTGAACAACAAACAACGTCAGAAGCGTCTTACCTGGGCTAAATAAAAAAACAGACCTGGTCTGTTGCTCAGTGGTCCAAAGTCCTCTTTTCTGATGAGAGCAACTTTTGCATCTCATTTGGAAACTAAGGACCCAGAATATGGAGGAAGAATGGAGAGGCACACACTGCAAGATGCTTGAAGTCCAGTGTGAAGTTTCCACAGTCTGTGTTGATTTGGGGAGCCATGTCATCTGCTGGTGTTGGTCCACTGTGCTTCATTAAGTCTAGGGTCAACGCAGCCGTATACCAGGAGATTTTGGAGCACTTCATGCTTCCTTCCGCAGACGAGCTTTATGGGGATGCTGACTTCATTTTCCAGCAGGACTTGGCACCTGCCCACACTGCCAAAAGCACCAAAACCTGGTTCAATGACCTTGGGATTACTGTGCTTGATTGGCCAGCAAACTCGCCTGACCTGAACCCCATAGAGAATCTATGGGGCATTGCCAAGAGAAAGATGAGAGACATGAGACCGAACAATGCAGAAGAGCTGAAGGCAGCTATTGAAGCATCCTGGTCTTCCATAACACCTCAGCAGTGCCACAGGCTGATAGCTTACATGCCACGCCGCATTGAGGCAGTAATTGCTGCAAAAGGGGCCCAAACCAAGTACTGAGTACATATGCATGCTTATACTTTTTCAGAGGTCAGATATTGTTCTATGTACAATCCTTGTTTTATTGATTGCATGTAATATTCTAATTTTCTGAGATTGTGGATTTTCATGAGCTGTAAGCCATAATCATCACAATTATGACAAATCACGGCTTGAACTATCTTGCTTTGCATGTAATGAGTCTATCTCATAGATTAGTTTCACCTTTTAAGTTGCATTACTGAAAAAAATGAAATTTTGCACGAAATTCTAATTTTTTCGAGTTTCACCTGTAGATACTATAACTTTCACACAAACCAATTAACATACACTTATTGGGATTTTCTTTTACCAAAAACATGTAGTAGAATACATTTTGGTCTAAATTTATGAAGAAATTAAATTTTTTTCTATTTTTTAGTGGGTATGTTTTTGCCAAAATGAAAATAAAAAAAAAATATATCGTATTTTCCGGCGTATAAGACAACTTTTTAACCCTTGAAAATCTTCTCAAAAGTCGGGGGTCGTCTTATACGCCGGTATACGGCATACTGACACTTGGTGTCAGGGCGGCACATTTTAGGGGGGCGGCGCGGTGCCGCCGCCGCCGCCCCCCCCCTTTCAACGGAAGGGACACTAAGTACAGGGGTGGGCAGGGGCTGCTGTTTCTAACCTGGCTCCCGTCCTAGTCCCATGACATCCAGTCCAGGAAGCGCAGCTGCTCCTTCATTCAGTTCGGCCACTGGATGTTCGCGCGGCCGATCGGCTCTGCCTCCTCACCGGTGATTGGCCGCCAGAACTGTAGCTCAGGAAAGGCACACAGGCGGCCAATCACCGGCGAGGAGGCGGAGCCGAGCGGTCCCACGAAAATCGAGTGAGGGAGCGGCCGGTAAGTGTGCTGTGCAGAGGTGCTGCTGCAACCACATATGCTGGCTGCAGCAGCACCATACTGGAAAAGGGGTCAGCAAGTGTAATTGGTGTCAGTGGGAGGAATAGTGCCCCATCATTGGTGTCACTGATATTAATGATGGGGCATTATTCCTCCCACTGACACCAATGATGGGGCAATATTCCTCCCCCCCCACTGACACCAACGATGGGGCACTAATTCTCCCCCGCCCCCACTGACACCAATGATGGAACACTATTCCTTCCCCCACTGACACCAATGATGGGGTACTATTCCTCCCACTGACACCAATGTTGGGACACTATTCCTCCCACTGACACGAATGACGGGGCACGATTCCTCCCACTGACACCAAAGACGGGGCACGATTCCTCCCACTGATACCAATGATGGGGCACGATTCCTCCCACTGACACCAAAGACGGGGCGCTATTCCTCCCACTGACACCAATGATGGGGCACGATTCCTCCCACTGACACCAATGATGGGGCGCTATTCCTTCCACTGACACCAATGATGGGGCGCTATTCCTCCCACTGACACCAGTGATGGGGCGCTATTCCTTCCCACTGACACCAATGATGGGGCGCTATTCCTCCCACTGACACCAATGATGGGGCGCTATTCCTCCCACTGACACCAATGATGGGGTGCTATTCCTCCCACTGACACCAATGATGGGGTGCTATTCCTCCCACTGACACCAATGATGTGACGCTATTTCTCCCATTGACACTGATGGAGTACTATTCCTCCCACTGTCACTAATGATGGGACACTATTCCTCACACACTGACACTAATGATGGGGCACCATCATTGGTGTCAGTGGGAGGAATAGTGTCCCATCATTAGTGTCAGTGGGAGGAATAGTGCCCCATCATTGGTGTCAGAGCGGGGAATCGTGCCCCATCATTGGTGTCAGTGGGAGGAATAGTACCCCATCATTGGAATACCATACTGAAATACCATACCATATTGAAATCAAATCTGATGTTTTTTAATTTTTATTTGGTGTGCGGTGGAAGAGGGGTAGTCTTATACGGCGACTATAGCCCAAACACTATATTTTAACAGAAAAGTAGGGGGTCGTCTTATACGCCGGAAAATACGGTATATATTTTATACGTCTTTTTTTATTTATAATACAAAAAAGAAAAATCCCAGTGATGATCAAATACCACCAAAAGAAAGCTCTGTCTATGTGAAAAAATTATATAAATTTAATTTATAATGTAGTGTAGTGTTGCATGACCGCGCAATTGTCAATTAAAGTAGTGCAGCGTTGTATAGAAAAAATGGCATGGTCATAAAGGGGAGTAAATCTTCTGGAGGTCAAGTAATTAAGAATAATAATAATAATAAACTTTTTTTTATATAGCGCCTTTAAAAGGTAACTTCTCAAAGCACTATACAAAGAAAACACAAAAAATACACAGGACAGGGCATAGCAGGAAAAGGCTCCGTCTCCCATTGAGAGTAGGTCAGTAGTGGGGACACACAGAAGACCATAATTTGAGGAGCAGAGGTTATGAGGGGGGGAGTAAGTTGATAAAAGTTTAGAAATGTCAAGCCATGAAGAGCCTTATAGGTGAGCAGGAGAATCTTAAGGTCTATGCGAAACCTGATGGGTAGTTAGTGCAAGAACTCCAGGATAGGAGTAATATGGTCACTTGTACCAGACCTAGTCAGGATTCTGGCTGCAGAATTTTGTACATATTGAAGTCAATTAATTATGGATTAGGTACACCAGCAAGAAGAGCATTGCAGTAGGCAAGTCAGGAGAACACATATGTATGAATCAGCTTTTTAGCTACAGTGTATGATAGCATAGGACACAGTCGAGCAATGTTTCTCAGGTGGAAAAAAAGATGTTTTGACAACATTTTGTACATGTGGATCAAAGGGTAAACTAGCATCAAATATCACCCTAGATTTTTCAATTTAGACTGGAGCTCAAGTACAGTGTCATCAACTATCAGGACTGGCCTTACATAATTGATGGGGGTGCCAATAAGGATGATTTTAGTCTTGTCACAGTTTAATTGAAGGAAAGTGTGTGTCATCCAAGGTTTATTGTGGATATGCAGAATATTTGAGTGTCATCAGCATAGAAATGATGATTGAGCCCATGTATTCTAAGCAGTTGGCCAAATGGGAACATGCAAATGCTAAAAAGTAAGGGACCCAAGATTGAGCCCTAAGGAACACCATACTTGACTGGACCAACATCACACTAGAATCTATTCAAGAGAATCAAAGGCAGAACTAAGATCCAGTAGAATAAGAATAGTTAGTGAGCCAGAATCAGAAGCTAACAGAAGCTCAATAGTGACTTTGACCAAGGCGGTTTCTGTACTGTGCAAATGCTGAAAACAAATTGGATGGGTTCAAATAGGTTAAAATCAGGTGAATATGTAACTGAAATATCACAGCCTGCTCAAGGATCTTGGCAAGGAAGGGTAAGTTAGATATTGGGCAAAAGTTGTTCAGAGCCATGTTTGGTTTTTTAGGTACCAGAGTAATGGCCACAGTTTTGAGGATTGTTGGTACAAAACTCGGTCTAAGTGAGTCATTTATGATATTGAGAATAATAGGGCATAGAGAACTAAAACTGGATTTAAATAAATGGGTGCGAATAGGATCAAGTATGCAGGTGTAAGATTTCATATTAGAGACCAATTTATTCAGAGATGTAGAGTCAAGTAGAGAGAAGTGGGAGAGAGAAGAACCAGTAAAACTGGGTGGGTCAGGAAGTGATGTGGAAGAAACATATGGTGTAGTAAGAATTTGATGCTTTATTTTGTGAATTTTTGAGGATAATAAATCTAAGAATTTGTTAAATGGCTGTGTTGAAGCTGGTAATGTGGAGAGACAGCGAGGTTTTAATAATCTGTCAATGGTGTAGAAGAGCTGTCTAGATTTTTTTCAATGGTATGGGAGAAATAGTTTGATCTGACAGTCTCAAATTGACTCTTAAATAGACACACAAATGATCCTTCCATATCTGACAATGAAAAGACATGCCAGAACAGCGCCAACTGTGCTTCAGTCTCCATGAGACAGCCTTCATTAAATGTAGGTGTGAACTATACCACAGAGCTGGACGTGAGAATGGGAGTTTTTAATGGGGCAAAGGTGTATGTAAGGAAATATGTCTTATTAACTGGCATCCATTTTGTATAATGCCTCCATTTCTAGATGTGTGAACAGTTAGTTTCCCTTGTAACTTCTCTCTCGTTTTCTGAGAATAGTTTCCATTTCACTGTAAACAAAACTACCTTATATAGTATCCCTCAACTATTTGCAGTTTGTGTTCTTCACGTAACTATATTGATAAGAATGGAATGTTTCATTGGTCATCCTAAGATTAAGCAATGCCTACTGAGTTTTCTATAACCGTTCTTGTCATGAATTAAACTTTCAGAGATTTAGCTTGCACACTTCGGTGTCTGAAGCTTTATTTCTCCCAGGCCTGAGGGTGAAAATAACGAGGACAGGGGCTACAGACATAGGCTGATTCCTAGCAGTGTCAAGGGAAGATGAAAGCACATGATTTTGTCCACAACGGTGTCAGAGGAGGAGATGCAGAATAGGGAGGAAGTAACAGAATCTGCAAATTCGGGCTGATCAGTAGAAGCCCAGTTGCAATAATTTACAGATCGAGACAGGGAGGTGTTAGAAACTGCTAATTCCAGATTGAAAAAGAATAGCTAGGTGGTCAGACAGTCTTAAGGAAAGAGCAGTCAGGGATAAAAGTGTGTGTGTGTGTGTGGGTGTGTGTCAAATTGAGTTAGGTCAAAGCATTCCAGTAGAGCCAAGAAGTCTTTAACTAAGCTGGAAGACGTCAAGTCAGTGTGTATATTAAAATCCCCAAGTATAAGGATTCACATTAAAGATGTAAACTTCATTTTTATTCTTTTTATTATAGACAAAAAATTTTAAGTATGCTACCTTAACATTTCATATTTCTGATATGTGTCTGTGTTACCATGTACTTGCCTATTCATTTTGCTTTTTTATGTGAAATACTCGGTGATCCTGCCAATACCCCCTGAAGCATATCCATCCCAGCATGGTCAGTTTGCTTCTTTGCAAATTTGCAGATTTCAGTTATGCCCCCCCCCCCCCCCCCCCAGGCCATCAGCTCCCCACTCCTGCCCCCAGGGCTGCTGATAAGGGGATACATTCAGACAGGGTCCCATAAGGTCTGCAGCACAGAGGCTGTACATAGAGTTGCCAATATACCCTTTTAACCACTAGGGGACTGCCCACAGTACATATACTGCGGCAATGCGGCCCCTGTAGGCAGGATCACGTATATAAACGTGATCCTTGTTTACATGCTAGGGGGCGCGCGCAAGGCACGTGACCCGCAGCACTGATTGCGGGTGTCAATCAGCGGGTCCCGGCGATTGCCGACAAACACTGACACAGAGCATAACTGCTTTGTTTTCAATGTAGCTCTGCTCCCTGTCAGTTCCCAGCTCACTGTTCTGGAGAGCAGAGGTTAACTTTCTGGGACAGTGTGCAACAGTGAAGTGCACACGCCCCGCCCACTAGTAAAACACTCCCCTCACACAGTTAACCCTTTGATTGCCTAAAAATGTTAACCCCTTCCTCCCCAGTGCCATTAGTACAGTGTCATTGTTTTTTTTTGCACTGATCACTGTATTGGTGTCACTGGGGATGTCGGTGACCCCAAGTCAGTTCCCCCCCAGTGTCAGAATGTCCACCACAGTTGCTGATCGCCGCCATAAGTCACGATTGCCGCCATAAGTCGCTGATCGCTGCTATTATTAGTATACAAAAAAAATCCAGTATCTATACCGTTATTTGTAAACGCTATAACTTTCACATAAACCAATTAATTTACACGTATTGGGATTTTTTCTAGCAAAGACATGTCGCAGAATACATTTTGGCTGAAATTTGACAAAATTTGATTTTTAAATTTTTTTACTGGACATGTTTTATAGCAAAAAGTCCAAAATATTGTTTTTTTTTCTCAAAATTGTTGGGGTTTTTTTTTATAGCGCAAAAAATAAACACACAGGCAATCAAATACCATCAAAAAAAAAAAGCCCAGTTCATGGGGAAAATAGGATGTAAATTTCATATTTGTGCAGCGCTGCATGACCACGCAATTGTCAGTAAAAATGACGCAGCACCATAACACAAACCGCTTATGTAACCATTTCCTGACCACCCTATAGCAGAAATACTGCTACAGGGCAGCACAGGTGCGCAAAATCACATATATATACGTAATTCACGCTCCCGTGGTTTTCATGCCCCTCCCAGATAGCGTCAGATTGCCCGTCAGTACACCAGTCATCACATTTAACCCCTCGATTGCCAGGAAGATGCTCATACACAATAAACCTCCATTGCTAGTATAGTGTCTGAACGGATCAATATCTTTGATCAGATCAGCACTATACCAGCGTTCACATTAGTATAGTGTCCCCCAAAATGCAGCGTTAGCGGGATCAGCCTCAGCACCTGCGTTTAGCCCCTATGTTTACCCCCCCTTCTCCCCCAGCAAGTGCAGTGT